TTCTAGTTCAGTTCTAGTTCAGTTCTAGTTCAGTTCTAGTTCAGTTCTAGTTCAGTTCTAGTTCAGTTCTAGTTCAGTTTAGTTCAGTTCTAGTTTAGTTCTAGTTCAGTTCTAGTTCAGTTCTAGTTCAGTTCTAGTTCAGTCTAGTTCAGTTCTAGTTCAGTTCTAGTTCAGTTCTAGTTCAGTTCTAGTTCAGTTCTAGTTCAGTTCTAGTTCAGTTCTAGTTCAGTTCTAGTTCAGTTCTAGTTCAGTTCTAGTTCAGTTCTAGTTCATTCTAGTTCAGTTCTAGTTCAGTTCTAGTTCAGTTCTAGTTCAGTTCTAGTTCAGTTCTAGTTCAGTTCTAGTTCAGTTCTAGTTCAGTTCTAGTTCAGTTCTAGTTCAGTTCTAGTTCAGTTCTAGTCAGTTCTAGTTCAGTTCTAGTTCAGTCTAGTTCGGTTCTAGTTCAGTTCTAGTCAGTTCTAGGTTCAGTTCTAGTTCAGTTCTAGTTCAGTTCTAGTTCAGTTCTAGTTCAGTTCTAGTTCAGTTCTAGTTCAGTTCTAGTTCAGTCAGTTCAGTTCTAGTTCAGTTCTAGTTCAGTTCTAGTTCAGTTCTAGTTCAGTTCTAGTTCAGTTCTAGTTCAGTTCTAGTTCAGTTCTCAGTTCAGTTCTAGTTCAGTTCTAGTTCAGTTCTAGTTCAGTTCAGTCTAGTTCAGTTCAGTTCAGTTCTAGTTCAGTTCTAGTTCAGTTCTAGTTCAGTTCTAGTTCAGTTCTAGTTCAGTTCTAGTTCAGTTCTAGTTCAGTTCTAGTTCAGTTCTAGTTCAGTTCTAGTTCAGTTCTAGTTCAGTTCTAGTTCAGTTCTAGTTCATTTCTAGTTCAGTTCTAGTTCAGTTCTGTCAGTTCTAGTTCAGTTCTAGTTCAGTTCTAGTTCAGTTCTAGTTCAGTTCTAGTTCAGTTCTAGTTCAGTTCTAGTTCAGTTCTAGTTCAGTTCTAGTTCAGTTCTAGTTCAGTTCTAGTTCAGTTCTAGTCTAGTTCAGTTCAGTTCAGTTCTAGTTCTAGTTCAGTTCTATTTCTAGTTCAGTTAGTTCAGTTCTAGTTCTCAGTCTTCAGTTCTAGTTCAGTTCTAGTTCAGTCTAGTTCAGTTCTAGTTCAGTTCTAGTTCAGTTCTAGTTCAGTTCTAGTTCAGTTCTAGTTCAGTTCTAGTTCAGTTCTAGTTCAGTTCTAGTTCAGTTCTAGTTCAGTTCTAGTTCAGTTCTAGTTCAGTTCTAGTTCAGTTCTAGTTCAGTTCTAGTTCAGTTCTAGTCAGTTCTAGTTCAGTTCTAGTTCAGTTCTAGTTCAGTTCTAGTCAGTTCTAGTTCAGTTCTAGTTCAGTTCTAGTCAGTTCTAGTTCAGTTCTAGTTCAGTTCTAGTTCAGTTCTAGTTCAGTTCTAGTTCAGTTCTAGTTCAGTTCTAGTTCAGTTCTAGTTCAGTTCTAGTTCAGTTCTAGTTCAGTTCTAGTTCAGTTCTAGTTCAGTTCTAGTTCAGTTCTAGTTCAGTTCAGTTCAGTTCTAGTCAGTCTAGTTCAGTTCTAGTTCAGTTCTAGTTCAGTTCTAGTTCAGTTCTAGTTCAGTCTAGTTCAGTTCAGTTCTAGTTCAGTTCTGTTCAGTTCTAGTTCAGTTCTAGTTCAGTTCTAGTTCAGTTCTAGTTCAGTTCTAGTTCAGTTCTAGTTCAGTTCTAGTTCAGTTCTAGTTCAGTTCTAGTTCAGTTCTAGTTCAGTTCTAGTTCAGTTCTAGTTCAGTTCTAGTTCAGTTCTAGTTCAGTTCTAGTTCAGTTCTAGTTCAGTTCTAGTTCAGTTCTAGTTCAGTTCTAGTTCAGTTCTAGTTCAGTTCTAGTTCAGTTCTAGTTCAGTTCTGTTCAGTTCTAGTTCAGTTCTAGTTCAGTTCTAGTTCAGTTCTAGTTCAGTTCTAGTTCAGTTCTAGTTCAGTTCTAGTTCAGTTCTAGTTCAGTTCTAGTTCAGTTCTAGTTCAGTTCTAGTTCAGTTCTAGTTCAGTCTAGTTCAGTTCTCAGTTCTAGTTTAGTTCATAGTTCAGTTCTAGTTCAGTTCTAGTTCAGTTTCTAGTTCAGTTCTCTAGTTCAGTTCTAGTTCAGTTCTAGTTCAGTTCTAGTTCAGGTTCTAGTTCAGTTCTAGTTCAGTTCTAGTTCAGTTCTAGTTCAGTTTAGTTCAGTTCTAGTTCAGTTCTAGTTCAGTTCTAGTTCAGTTCTAGTTCAGTTCTAGTTCAGTTCTAGTTCAGTTCTAGTTCAGTTCTAGTCAGTTCTAGTTCAGTTCTAGTTCAGTTCTAGTTCAGTTTGTTCAGTTCTAGTTCAGTTCTAGTTCAGTTCTAGTTCAGTTCTAGTTCAGTTCTAGTTCAGTTCTAGTCAGTTCTAGTTCAGTTTAGTCAGTTCTCGTTGCAGTTCTAGTTCAGTTCTAGTTCAGTTATAGTTCCGTCAATATATTGGAGTGGTACTACTGTTTTTCCATTTTAAATTCTTACATCATACTTACTCTAAATTTTAACGTTAAAAATAAATGATTCCAATTTCTTACTTTGTTATTTTTTTAACATTTATTTCTTTATTAGTTTCTTTGTTTGCAATTTAACTAAACTACAATACATAAGACATTTTCAGTTTTAATTTCAATTTGTCTGCTACTTTTGACCTACAATAAATTACTCTTACTACATATTCTTCTTCTTATTTTTGCTTGACTCTAAGGGTGTTTTCATATATTTTATCTTATTTAAAAATATCAGTTCTTAAAGTTAACTTTGGACCATTTAAATGTATAAAATGGTTTTAAATTAAAAGAAGAAATAAACAAAAAGTTATTTGTAATTAAAACTAAATTAGAAATTTACAAAAAAATATGCAAAAGGAACCTAAATATTTGATATACAAAACAAAAATATTAAAACAAATCCAATAAAAACCATTAAAACCGCTAAATTGATTTTCGATATGTGGTTTTTCCATAAAAAATAGTATTGAAATGTAACATAAAATAACAATCAATTGAATAATAATTAAAAAAAGAGAGGCCGAAATTTGTTTGCCTTTATTGCCACAAGAATGTTGTTGCTGGCCTTCGGTGTGGTGGAGAGGGGGTTTAAGAGAGAAAAATGTTTTGGTTGTGGTTGTTAAAAAAATTACACACTCACTCACTTTCAGCCACACATGTATGCTCTTGCATTTCAATGGTTATCATCAAAAAGGAGCCACAAAATATTTCGTCATGCTCCATATAAAAAGAGATTTCAGAAAGAAATTGTTTTACAAAAAAAAAAAAAAAAAAAAAAAAATGGCTTAAAAATATTTTACTCGTATATTTCTTTAGGGGGTTTTATTTTTTTATTCCTTTTTCGAAAAGATAAAAATTTTTTCTAATAACTTAAATACTAAATTGGCAGTGTAGGACTTTGTTTGTTGTTTTTTTAGTTTTATTACTAATGAAATCATTTGTTTCTATTTTACTTAAATCAATTTGAATTTGACATAAATAACAAAAATTTTATAGATAATTCACTGAACTTTTTTATTGTATCTACCTAAGTACTAGTTCAGGTTAAGTTTTGTTCTAGTTCAATTCCAGTAGAGTCCTAGTTCAGTTCTAGTTCAGTTCTAGTTCTGTTCTAGTTCTGTTCAAGTTCTGTTCTAGTTCAGTTCTAGTTCAGTTCTAGTTCAGTTCTAGTTCAGTTCTAGTTCAGTTCTAGTTCAGTTCTAGTTCAGTTCTAGTTCTGTTCTAGTTCTGTTCTAGTTCTGTTCAAGTTCTGTTCTAATTCTGTTCTAGTTCTGTTCTAGTTCTGTTCTAGTTCTGTTCTAGTTCTGTTCTAGTTCTGTTCTAGTTCTAGTTCAGTTCTAGTTATTCAGTTCTAGTTCAGTTCTAGTTCAGTTCTAGTTCAGTTCTAGTTCAGTTCTAGTTCAGTTCTAGTTCAGTTCTAGTTCAGTTCTAGTTCAGTTCTAGTTCAGTTCTAGTTCAGTTCTAGTTCAGTTCTAGTTCAGTTCTAGTTCAGTTCTAGTTCAGTTCTAGTTCAGTTCTAGTTCAGTTCTAGTTCAGTTCTAGTTCAGTTCTAGTTCAGTTCTAGTTCAGTTCTAGTTCAGTTCTAGTTCAGTTCTAGTTCAGTTCTAGTTCAGTTCTAGTTCAGTTCTAGTTCAGTTCTAGTTCAGTTCTAGTTCAGTTCTAGTTCAGTTCTAGTTCAGTTCTAGTTCAGTTCTAGTTCAGTTCTAGTTCAGTTCTAGTTCAGTTCTAGTTCAGTTCTAGTTCAGTTCTAGTTCAGTTCTAGTTCAGTTCTAGTTCAGTTCTAGTTCAGTTCTAGTTCAGTTCTAGTTCAGTTCTAGTCAGTTCTAGTTCAGTTCTAGTTCAGTTCTAGTTCTGTTCTAGTTCTAGTTCTAGTTCAGTTCTAGTTCTGTTCTAGTTCTGTTCTAGTTCTGTTCTAGTTCTGTTCTAGTTCTGTTCGAGTTCTGTTCTAGTTCTGTTCTAGTTCTGTTCTAGTTCTGTTCTAGTTCTGTTCTAGTTCTGTTCTAGTTCTGTTCTAGTTCTGTTCTAGTTCTGTTCTAGTTCTGTTCTAGTTCTTTTCTAGTTCTGTTCTAGTTCTGTTCTAGTTCTGTTTTAGTTCTGTTCTAGTTCAGTTCTAGTTCTATTCTAGTTCTGTTCTAGTTGTATTCTAGTTCTGTTCTAGTCCTGTTTTAGTTCTGTTTTAGTTCTGTTCTAGTTCTGTTCTAGTTCTGTTCTAGTTCTGTTCTAGTTCAGTTCTAGTTCTGTTCTAGTTCTGTTCTAGTTCTGTTCTAGTTCTGTTCTAGTTCTGTTCTAGTTCTGTTCTAGTTCTGTTCTAGTTCTGTTCTAGTTCTGTTCTAGTTCTGTTCTAGTTCTGTTCTAGTTCTGTTCTAGTTCTGTTCTAGTTCTGTTCTAGTTCTGTTCTAGTTCTGTTCTAGTTCTGTTCTAGTTCTGTTCTAGTTCTGTTCTAGTTCTGTTCTAGTTCTGTTCTAGTTCTGTTCTAGTTCTGTTCTAGTTCTGTTCTAGTCTGTTCTAGTACTGTTCTAATTTAGTTGTGGTTCTGTTCTAGTTTAGTGAATTTGACAAAAACTCTTCCAATTTATTCAACTCTTCTAATTCAAATTCTTATCACTTTACTTCAAATAAGCTTCTAAATTTTCTTCAGTTGAAGATATGATTAAACTTGAGGTTTTATAGATTTTAATAACTATCTCAATATTTTAATAAATCGCTGGAGCTTTTCTAAACTGAAGTACATAACTACTGGCAATTGAGTCAAATTTTCTAATGAATTTTCTTTTATTTACAAAAAATCTCTTACAATTTTTATAAAAAAGAAACCAAATTGAAAGTAAAAAAATTAAAATCACTTAATACTTATATTTTTTAGTTTTTCGGTATCATCTACTACTCTTCAGTGCTGTGTTTAAGAAACCAAGTCATGTTTGTGCATTCAAGCCTTTTTTAGCAGTTGTTGGTTCTGGTTGTCTTGGCTGCTGTGAAAGTGAAAATAAAACTGAGACATTTACACAGCAGTACCATTAATCATGTCATAGTGGTCTTGATTTTTGTTGGTGTTACCACCAGTACTAACGCCGCCACCTCCCCCCATTGTTAGACCACTATTGGAATTGACAGTATTGGCGTTAACGCCTAAGCCCGAAAAGAGACTGGCATGCGAACGTCTACGTTCACGTTCAATTTCATCCAAATCAAAGGCATCGGCCAGCACAGCACTGGGTCGACGGTGTTCGTCGAAAGCATAACCTCGCTGAAATTTGGGTGGTCCTTGAGAGCCAGTAGTCGAACCATTTACAACAACTTGTTGACCACCTGCTGTTATAAGATTGCCAGTTGTAGTCATGCCACCCGCACCGCTATTACTATTTGAACGTGTTAGTAGGGCATGATTGTTAGTGGTATTTTGGGTGGCACTGTTTGTTGCGGGGCCATACATATGAAAACTGCCACTAAAATTTGAGGGTGAAGAGGGTATGGCAGCTGGCCATTGCACTAGAGAAGGTTGTTTTAAAGTGGAGGCTGTGCTATAATTTGTAGATGAAACATTAGCATGCTGTTGTTGTTGCTGCTGATATTGTTGTAATTGATGGGGTTGTATATATATCGGCTGCTGCTGCTGCTGCTGTTGTATATAGTGTCGATTTAATTCCTCATTTGACTTGTGTAAACCATAACGTGAATTATACAACTCCTGTTCTCTTGACATGGATAAATAGCGATTTTGTTGTTGCAATTGTTGCTGATGTTGCATCATGAGTGTTGTCAATCTCTGTTGACTAGCACTGTACATATTATGCAATTGTGTAGCACTTGCATTTAGTCCCGCCGATGCCAAACTGTCTTGCGAGTCAGCACTACGTTTCAAAAATGCTCGTGGTAAAGTACGACTTTGATACATGGCCTGATTCTGATTGTGATGGTAATCATGATGTAAACGTTGCTGTGATCCACCATAAGTACTGTCGCGCAGTGTATAATGAGGTTGTTGATGATGTTGTGTTGTTATGTAACCAAATTCATTGCCACTTGTATCCAAATCGTAAAGACTCTTCTGTAAACCAGCTCTAGTGGCTGTAGGTGCGTAAATGGCGTGCAGGGATAAATTGGAATTTAAGCGTCGCAGATGATTGGGCTCTACGTACATGGAAGCACGACGACCATTGCGTATGGCTTGTGGCATTAGGTGAATGTTGTCTGGAAGTAAATGAGATTTGGAAAATGCATATTGCGTTTTGGGATAAAATTTTTTATAATTTGAATATATAGAGAAAGAGAACTTTTTCTTCAAAAAAGAGAGTTTTAAAGTTTTCTATTAGAAGACAAAATTTTCTATAAAAAAAACATTTCCGAACATTTTCTATTAGAGAAGTTTTTCGAACATTTTTCATAAGAACATTTTTATAAAAAGAGAAATTTTTCGAAAGTTTTCTATAAGAAGAGAAAATTTACGAATGTTTTCTATAAGAAGAAGTTTTGTATAAAAAGAGCTATTTAGTTTAAAAAGATAAATTTTTATAAATTTATGGAAAATGTTCATTAAAAGGAAACAATTTTATCAATTACTATTAAGTAATAGAAAGAAGTTGTCTATGAAATAAATATCTTCATACATCTTTCAGATTTTAAAAAGAAATATGTATTTTTGAGATATTTGTATATAAAAAGAAAATGTTATCCGAATTGCTGGGATAAAACCGTACAATACAAGTCAACTTCAACTTAATCACGCATTGCATTTATTTTTGCTGGTTTATAACGAATCATTGATTTTAGTCAATTCTTTTTGTAAGTTTCCCACAAAGATGAGCATTAGTTTATTTTGAAAACATTTAGAAATCAAACACACAGACAATCACATGTGTGTATATGAATTCCAAATATAAATTATGGTTCGAAGGACATCTCAGAATTTATCATGATGTGAATAAGGGAGAGAGTGTTTTATCATGTGGAAGATTTAATATTTTTGGCACAATAAACAAATACACCATCTTAGTATTCCGTATACAATATATAGATTTTTTGACAATTTCCCAGAAAATGCAAGATACAAAAAAAATTGAAGGAAAACAGATAGAGATGATGCTGAACAAAATACACAGTGTTTTGTATACAATTGTTGATAAATGACTTATTTCCCAATAGAAGCAACTACAAATAATATATTTTTAATGGTAAAATACAAACACTCAGTATGAGAAGTATGATTGTGTATCATGATGCATTTAGCTCCCACTTTTTTTTTGGCGAAAATTCTCATTGCTAAAGAATAAACTAAAGTAAACTTAGTAAATTGATTTTGGTGGCAACAAACTGGATAAAATTGAATGTGAGTGTATAAAATAGACAGTGGGAATGTATGAGAGAAAAAATGTTAGAAGAGACATTTCCGAAATTTTTGTATAAGAAGAGACATTTTGCGAAAAATTTCTATAAGAATAGAAATTTTGCGAAAAATTTCTATAAGAATAGAAATTTTGCGAAAATTTTCTATAAGAATAGAAATTTTGCGAAAATTTTCTATAAGAATAGAAATTTTCCGAAAATTTTCTATAAGAATAGAAATTTTGCGAAAATTTTCTATAAGAATAGAAATTTTGCGAAAAATTTTCTATAAGAATAGAAATTTTCCGAAAATTTTCTATAAGAATAGAAATTTTCCGAAAATTTTCTATAAGAATAGAAATTTTCCGAAAAATTTCTATAAGAATAGAAGAATAGAAGAATAGAAATTTTGCGAAATTTATGCCTAATTTCTATAAGAATAGAAATTTTGCGAAAATTTTCTATAAGAATAGAAATTTTGCGAAAATTTTCTATAAGAATAGAAATTTTGCGAAAATTTTCTATAAGAATAGAAATTTTGCGAAAATTTTCTATAAGAATAGAAATTTTGCGAAAATTTTCTATAAGAATAGAAATTTTGCGAAAATTTTCTATAAGAATAGAAATTTTGCGAAAATTTTCTATAAGAATAGAAATTTTGCGAAAATTTTCTATAAGAATAGAAATTTTGCGAAATTTTCTATAAGAATAGAAATTTTGCGAAAATTTTCTATAAGAATAGAAATTTGCGAAAATTTTCTATAAGAATAGAAATTTGCGAAAATTTTCTATAAGAATAGAAATTTTGCGAAAATTTTCTATAAGAATAGAAATTTTGCGAAAATTTTCTATAAGAATAGAAATTTTGCGAAAATTTTCTATAAGAATAGAAATTTTGCGAAAATTTTCTATAAGAATAGAAATTTTGCGAAAATTTTCTATAAGAATAGAAATTTTCCGAAAATTTTCTATAAGAATAGAAATTTTGCGAAAATTTTCTATAAGAATAGAAATTTTGCGAAAATTTTCTATAAGAATAGAAATTTTGCGAAAATTTTCTATAAGAATAGAAATTTTGCGAAAATTTTCTATAAGAATAGAAATTTTGCGAAAATTTTCTATAAGAATAGAAATTTTGCGAAAATTTTCTATAAGAATAGAAATTTTGCGAAAATTTTCTATAAGAATAGAAATTTTGCGAAAATTTTCTATAAGAATAGAAATTTTGCGAAAATTTTCTATAAGAATAGAAATTTTCCGAAAATTTTCTATAAGAATAGAAATTTTGCGAAAATTTTCTATAAGAATAGAAATTTTCCGAAAATTTTCTATAAGAATAGAAATTTTCCGAAAATTTTCTATAAGAATAGAAATTTTCCGAAAATTTTCTATAAGAATAGAAATTTTGCGAAAATTTTCTATAAGAATAGAAATTTTCCGAAAATTTTCTATAAGAATAGAAATTTTCCGAAAATTTTCTATAAGAATAGAAATTTTGCGAAAATTTTCTATAAGAATAGAAATTTTGCGAAAATTTTCTATAAGAATAGAAATTTTCCGAAAATTTTCTATAAGAATAGAAATTTTCCGAAAATTTTCTATAAGAATAGAAATTTTCCGAAAATTTTCTATAAGAATAGAAATTTTCCGAAAATTTTCTATAAGAATAGAAATTTTCCGAAAATTTTCTATAAGAATAGAAATTTTCCGAAAATTTTCTATAAGAATAGAAATTTTCCGAAAATTTTCTATAAGAATAGAAATTTTCCGAAAATTTTCTATAAGAATAGAAATTTTCCGAAAATTTTCTATAAGAATAGAAATTTTCCGAAAATTTTCTATAAGAATAGAAATTTTGCGAAAATTTTCTATAAGAATAGAAATTTTGCGAAAATTTTCTATAAGAATAGAAATTTTGCGAAAATTTTCTATAAGAATAGAAATTTTGCGAAAATTTTCTATAAGAATAGAAATTTTGCGAAAATTTTCTATAAGAATAGAAATTTTGCGAAAATTTTCTATAAGAATAGAAATTTTGCGAAAATTTTCTATAAGAATAGAAATTTTGCGAAAATTTTCTATAAGAATAGAAATTTTCCGAAAATTTTCTATAAGAATAGAAATTTTCCGAAAATTTTCTATAAGAATAGAAATTTTCCGAAAATTTTCTATAAGAATAGAAATTTTCCGAAAATTTTCTATAAGAATAGAAATTTTCCGAAAATTTTCTATAAGAATAGAAATTTTCCGAAAATTTTCTATAAGAATAGAAATTTTCCGAAAATTTTCTATAAGAATAGAAATTTTCCGAAAATTTTCTATAAGAATAGAAATTTTCCGAAAATTTTCTATAAGAATAGAAATTTTCCGAAAATTTTCTATAAGAATAGAAATTTTCCGAAAATTTTCTATAAGAATAGAAATTTTCCGAAAATTTTCTATAAGAATAGAAATTTTCCGAAAATTTTCTATAAGAATAGAAATTTTCCGAAAATTTTCTATAAGAATAGAAATTTTCCGAAAATTTTCTATAAGAATAGAAATTTTCCGAAAATTTTCTATAAGAATAGAAATTTTCCGAAAATTTTCTATAAGAATAGAAATTTTCCGAAAATTTTCTATAAGAATAGAAATTTTCCGAAAATTTTCTATAAGAATAGAAATTTTGCGAAAATTTTCTATAAGAATAGAAATTTTGCGAAAATTTTCTATAAGAATAGAAATTTTGCGAAAATTTTCTATAAGAATAGAAATTTTGCGAAAATTTTCTATAAGAATAGAAATTTTGCGAAAATTTTCTATAAGAATAGAAATTTTGCGAAAATTTTCTATAAGAATAGAAATTTTCCGAAAATTTTCTATAAGAATAGAAATTTTCCGAAAATTTTCTATAAGAATAGAAATTTTGCGAAAATTTTCTATAAGAATAGAAATTTTGCGAAAATTTTCTATAAGAATAGAAATTTTGCGAAAATTTTCTATAAGAATAGAAATTTTCCGAAAATTTTCTATAAGAATAGAAATTTTGCGAAAATTTTCTATAAGAATAGAAATTTTGCGAAAATTTTCTATAAGAATAGAAATTTTGCGAAAATTTTCTATAAGAATAGAAATTTTGCGAAAATTTTCTATAAGAATAGAAATTTTGCGAAAATTTTCTATAAGAATAGAAATTTTCCGAAAATTTTCTATAAGAATAGAAATTTTGCGAAAATTTTCTATAAGAATAGAAATTTTGCGAAAATTTTCTATAAGAATAGAAATTTTGCGAAAATTTTCTATAAGAATAGAATTTTCCGAAATTTTCTATAAGAATAGAAATTTTCCGAAAATTTTCTATAAGAATAGAAATTTTCCGAAAATTTTCTATAAGAATAGAAATTTTCCGAAAATTTTCTATAAGAATAGAAATTTTCCGAAAATTTTCTATAAGAATAGAAATTTTCCGAAAATTTTCTATAAGAATAGAAATTTTCCGAAAATTTTCTATAAGAATAGAAATTTTCCGAAAATTTTCTATAAGAATAGAAATTTTCCGAAAATTTTCTATAAGAATAGAAATTTTCCGAAAATTTTCTATAAGAATAGAAATTTTCCGAAAATTTTCTATAAGAATAGAAATTTTCCGAAAATTTTCTATAAGAATAGAAATTTTCCGAAAATTTTCTATAAGAATAGAAATTTTCCGAAAATTTTCTATAAGAATAGAAATTTTCCGAAAATTTTCTATAAGAATAGAAATTTTCCGAAAATTTTCTATAAGAATAGAAATTTTCCGAAAATTTTCTATAGGAATAGAAATTTTCCGAAAATTTTCTATAAGAATAGAAATTTTCCGAAAATTTTCTATAAGAATAGAAATTTTCCGAAATATTTCGAAAATTTCCTATAAGAGTAGAAATTTTTCGAAAATTTCCTATAAGAATAGAGATTTTCCGAAAATTTTTTGTAAGAATAGAAATTTTCTATAAAAATAGAAATTTTCCTAGTGAACTAAAATATCCCATTTTTATACCACTTTACCCACTGTGTTTTTCACTGAACTAACAATTTTCCTTTAAAGCTGTTATTTATAAGCCAAAAGAATGTGAAAAGAAAAACTTTATTGGAAACGTATTTACCACTATTAGTTGTAGATGTTTATATATTGTTATTGTTGTTATTGTCCAAAGCAGACAACACAAACTCTTTTAAAATATAAACAGAGAGCAAATTATTCACTCACCATCAATCACATATAAGTGGTCTTCGTTCTCGGTCAATTTCTTAAAACCACTCTCATCCACATCCTCATCTATATCGACAACATCAATGCCATCGCCAAAAATACGATTATTCTCCATGCCACGGTAGTCAGCGCCATGAGATTGTTGTTGTTGTTGCTGCTGCAGATGTTTCCCTGGTGTTTCCATACGTCTCTGATGAAGATTACCAGTGCGTACATTATTCAATCTCAGGGGTTTGCATTGCATTTCCTCTTCAATTTCAGTAGTTTGTTGAGTTGAATTGTCATCGATGCCCAGACCAGCAGTAGCATCATCTTCGTCATCGTCGTTCTCACCCTCATGATTTTCTATGTAGTAGATATTTTTGGGTTTTGGACGTACGCCAGCACGTTTACAAAATTCTTCAAAAAGTTCATCTTTAGTTTTGCGTATACTCCTTTTAAGACCGCAAAGTTTTTGTGGTTGCTCTTCATCGGCATCGTCATCATCATCATCGTTATTATCCAGTTGGTCGTTATCATTTTCATCAGCTTTATGGCCATTGACAGGGGCACGTAAATGACGCTGTTGGCGATGATGATGTTTATCCCTAGAATCGCCAACTAAATCATCGTTACTGGCACATGTTGCTGTTGTTGCAGCATAGTTTGTCTTATAAATATTGTTGTGCCGTTGAGTTTGTTGCTGCAGCTGTTGCGGTAAAGTTTTCTTTGAGTGTGTGATATTGTTGCGTTGTTGTAATTGAGTTTTTGTATTGTTACCAGTGCCGCCACCATTACCATTTGTTTGTGTTTCGGTATCGGTATTGTAGCGCGTATTTGTCGCCACATTACGTCTTCGATTGTTGTTGGTGTTGTTGTTATTGCTGTTACCATAATCGGTTTTTGTTGCTGACACACCACTAAAACTGACATTTTGGGTGGCATAAATGTCTGTTGTTGTGGACACACTACGTGTTAAAGGAAACTCTTGCGGTGAATCACTAAATTGTTGCGGTGGTCTTGGCAAAGTTTGTGTTTGCAATTGTAGAATACCACCACCCCCCACCCGTATGGCTGAGGGTGGTGGTGGCGGCGGCAGTATAGCTGATGATGAAGAAGATTCTGTATAGAGTTCATTAAGCGACTTTGCCAAATTTCTGGAGTGTAAATTACACTTGCTTTGTGTTGATGAAGTGCTGGGTTTCTCGAAATAATATCTTCAAAATACAAACAATTTAAATTAGTTTTAACATTTTCAATTTCAGCTATTCTTTAGTAAAATTAAAGAAGAATGAGGGAACTGAAAAGAAAACCCATAATAATTTGTCTTTCCTACCTTCTGTCCAATTCATTCAGGAACATAGTTGAACTCATGCCATTTGGATGTTTTCGACAAGCAAATGGTCCTGTACTGACATCTGTGGCTGCATCGACTATTCTACGTCCTGTTTTTGCTGCAATTCCTCCTGCTCCTCCGCCACTCTTGCCATTTACCTGGGCCATATTCTTGAGTAATTTTTTCGTATCCAATTCCAATTCTTGTGCTGTTACTTGATGTTTTCTATTTTGCTGTTGTCTTAGTCTTTCCATTGGTTTTTTGCTTTCAATTTCATGTTTGTAACTTTTGTAGGTGTGACTATTGAAACGATTTTCTCCTTCTTTGATTTTTTCTTGTAGATTTGAGATTGTAAAACATGGTAAACGCTTTAGAAAATAACAAATGTGAAAAGTGGAAAAAAATGGAACATAGAATATATTAGCTAAGTGTTTGTAGGTTTTTGTCTCAAAATTTTCAAAATTAAATGTTTAAGAAGATTTGAAAAGTTTTAGAGATTTTAAGACATTTTTGAAAATCTCTATTAAATTCTAAAAGTTAAATCATTGATGTCCTATACCTTCGTCATGGAGTGGATCCTGACAGAATCCTTATACCTCAACTATTCTAAACAATTTCAGACACCAATCACCAATCTAATTCTAAGCCTTTTAAATAGCAAATCAATGATCTTCTCTTTTTATATTGCACTTAAACTAAGTATTTTGTATAAAGTTTTATTGACCGTCTCTATATAGTAAATAATTTTTTTTATGCCAACACTCATAAAAAAATTTCTAAACTCTGAATAAAACGTGACACTAATAACATCATCACTCACTGATAAAATTCATTGAAAATTATTATTACATTTTGTTTTTTTCTTTTAGCACAAAACTTTGCCTTTGTTATTTTTTTTTTTAGTTAATGAATAATCAATCTATTTACATAAACTTTAATGAACTTTGTGCAACATTAAACACTGATATGGAGTCAGGAGCAATAAACCACTATAGATAGATTTTTAGTTTACAGAAAAATTTTTCCCATAAAATGTTAATTAATTTGGTGAAAAATATTATGGTTTTTAATTAGAGTGAATGGAAGTAAAGGAAATAATGAAAAATTCGGCGTCATGAAATAACTCCCCAATTTTAAAAAGGAAAAAGCCCCAAAGAGGTGGAATAACTTATAATTTAAAACGAAAGACCGCATCATTTTGGGGATTTTTTTTCATTTGGAAAAAATCGCTATTTACAATAACGGGTTGTAAATAGCGATTCCTAAATAGGCGTCCTGGGTCCGACGCTCTTCGATATACCCCAGAGGAAAAAACCATTGCGCCCGGAACAAGGCTGGCTATCCAACATGTAGTTTCTATTGTGACCGAAATCCCCAAATGGGGATTTGTTAGTTAGTTAGTTAGTTAGTAGTTAGTTAGTTAGTTAGTTAGTTAGTAGTTAGTTAGTTAGTTAGTTAGTTAGTTAGTTGGTAGTTAGTTAGTTAGTTAGTTAGTTAGTTAGTTAGTTAGTTAGTTAGTTAGTTAAGTTAGTTAGTTAGTTAGTTAGTTAGTTAGTAGTTAGTTAGTTAGTTAGTTAGTAGTTAGTTAGTTAGTAGTTAGTTAGTTAGTTAGTTAGTTAGTTAGTTAGTTAGTTAGTTAGTTAGTTAGTTAGTTAGTTAGTTAGTTAGTTAGTTAGTTAGTTAGTTAGTTAGTTAGTTAGTTAGTTAGTTAGTAGTTAGTTAGTTAGTTAGTTAGTTAGTTAGTTAGTTAGTTAGTTAGTTAGTTAGTTAGTTAGTTAGTTAGTTAGTTAGTTAGTTAGTTAGTTAGTTAGTTAGTTAGTTAGTTAGTTAGTTAGTTAGTTAGTTAGTTAGTTAGTTAGTTAGTTAGTTAGTTAGTTAGTTAGTTAGTTAGTTAGTTAGTTAGTTAGTAGTTAGTTAGTTAGTTTAGTTAGTTAGTTAGTTAGTTAGTTAGTTAGTTAGTTAGTGTTAGTTAGTTAGTTAGTTAGTTAGTAGTTAGTAGTTAGTTAGTTAGTTAGTTAGTTAGTTAGTTAGTTAGTTAGTTAGTTAGTTAGTTAGTTAGTTAGTTAGTTAGTTAGTTAGTTAGTTAGTTAGTTAGTTAGTTAGTTAGTTAGTTAGTAGTTAGTTAGTTAGTTAGTTAGTTAGTTAGTTAGTTAGTTAGTTAGTTAGTTAGTTAGTTAGTTAGTTAGTTAGTTAGTTAGTTAGTTAGTTAGTTAGTTAGTTAGTTAGTTAGTTAGTTAGTTAGTTAGTTAGTTAGTTAGTTAGTTAGTTAGTTAGTTAGTTAGTTAGTTAGTTAGTTAGTAGTTAGTTAGTTAGTTAGTTAGTTAGTTAGTTAGTTAGTTAGTTAGTTAGTTAGTAGTTAGTTAGTTAGTTAGTTAGTTAGTTAGTTAGTTAGTTAGTTAGTTAGTTAGTTAGTTAGTTAGTTAGTTAGTTAGTTAGTTAGTTAGTTAGTTAGTTAGTTAGTTAGTTAGTTAGTTAGTTAGTTAGTTAGTTAGTTAGTTAGTTAGTTAGTTAGTTAGTTAGTTAGTTAGTAGTTAGTTAGTTAGTTAGTTAGTTAGTTAGTTAGTAGTTAGTAGTTAGTTTAGTTAGTTAGTTAGTTAGTTAGTTAGTTAGTTAGTTAGTTAGTTAGTTAGTGTAGTTAGTTAGTTAGTTAGTTAGTTAGTTAGTAGTTAGTTAGTTAGTTAGTAGTTAGTTAGTTAGTTAGTTAGTTAGTTAGTTAGTTAGTTAGTTAGTTAGTTCGTTAGTTAGTTAGTTAGTTGTTAGTTAGTTAGTTAGTAGTTAGTTAGTTAGTTAGTTAGTTAGTAGTTAGTTAGTTAGTTAGTTAGTAGTTAGTTAGTTAGTTAGTAGTTAGTAGTTAGTTAGTTAGTTAGTTAGTTAGTAGTTAGTTAGTTAGTTAGTTAGTTAGTTAGTTAGTTAGTTAGTTAGTTAGTTAGTTAGTTAGTTAGTAGTTAGTTAGTTAGTTAGTAGTTAGTTAGTTAGTAGTTAGTAGTTAGTTAGTTAGTTAGTTAGTTAGTTAGTTAGTAGTTAGTTAGTTAGTTCGTTAGTTAGTTAGTTAGTTAGTTAGTTAGTTAGTCGTTATTAGTTAGTTAGTTAGTTAGTTAGTTAGTTAGTAGTAGTTAGTTAGTTAGTAGTTAGTTAGTAGTAGTTAGTTAGTTAATGGATTAATTAATTACATAGTCCATCGTTGAATAGGTGCATTTCATTCTTCGACTATGATTTCTTACTTCTTTATTTAACCAGCTTTTAAGTATTAATGGTTTACGTCTGAACAGATTGCATGGAAGTTTTCATTTCAGTTAATTTCAGAAAAAATCTTACAGTTAAAACATATTTTTCGATTATTTTATAATAATTTCATCTTACTTCAGTTTTCTCCTTACATACATTTACTCATACACATGTTTGCACATAACTACACATATTATCCCCACATTTGTAATAAAACTTTTATATCCTTTTACAACTCTTCCTATGAAATACTTACGCTATAATAACCAACTTCTTGCAGACTGATATAAAGAAAAATATTTAACAAGCCGACAAATTCTGTTGCTATAAAACCGAAGACAAACAAAAAGAAACTTTGACCGTATGTGACCTTAAATAGAGGCGGTTGTAGTGTCGACCTTGGACGCAACTTTGACCCAATTTCAGCCTTTAATATGGATATATAAGCGATGAGACCGATGAGCATCAGTAAACCTTTTCATTATTATTATTTTTTTTTTGTAATTTTATACAAGTTGGTTGTTTTTGTTTTCAAGCATTTTGTGCAATGGTCCACAAGTTTTGTTTTTCATCCATTTATTTATTTTTCCGATTTAATGAGTTGATGGCGTTTGTTGGTTGGTTGGTTGATTCGTTCATTCGTTCGTTCGTTGTTGGAATACATGAAAAGAGAAATAATTGTAAAGATTTTAGTTGAAAATGTAATATGAACAGAATTGCTAAAGAATGTAAAAGTAATTAAAAATAAAAGTTTAAGTAAAAGCTAAAGTTAAAGCTACGAAAAAAGTTAAATTGAAATTAATATTAATGTTTAGTTGTAAATGTTAGTGTTCGTGTCAATGGTGATGGTTCTAGCTGTTGGCTGGTGTTTGTTAAATGTTGTGTGTGTAATTGTTTGAGTATAACCTTGCAGTTGTGGTGGTTGCCATGAACTAGTGATTTTTTCACCATTTGGGGTTACCTTAGTAACTAGTTACATATGTATTTGTGTGTTTTATTTAGATATTATCAAATGGAACTCCAATAAATTGCCAAAAATCGTACTTTCTGAAAGGGGCACCTTGACTCCTTGTAAATTTTCGTTTGTATATGTATTTTTGTTCCTGTTGTCTTTTTAATTGCAGTATTTTATTTTAGTTTTCTTTTTTCTATTCGTTCATTGCCATTCATTTTCTTTTCTTTAGTTTTCATTTACTTTGTGATTTTCCATTCAAAATAAAGTTTTGTATTGCTAAGTAAATACGATTTTGTTAAATGAACACTTTTCTTGTTTTGGCACACAGATTTAAGTAATGAGCATAAATTAAAATAATTTGTGCAATTGATATTGTTTCCACAACAAGACACTACTAACTATAACCACAATAATAAGTTTTTAGATATAAGGATTCTTAATTGTTTTAAGGATTAAAATAATTTGAGAAGTTTGCATTAAATTGAGGTAATAAGAAAAAACTAAAGGAATTTTGAAATCAAATATGGGTTAAAGATATTATGGAGTACAGAAAACAGGATGATGATAGTTGATACAACCGCAAATTAGGAGTTTTTTAACACAACTCATTGGAAACTTATTAGGCTTTTAGAATAGCCAAAGTTCTGATATTTGACAGTTCTTATTGGATCTTGTTTTCTTTTATAAACTTATTTTGTTTCAACCCTAATATTGAAGTCTAAGTAAGTTACGTTTAGATTTTCTTCTTATTTTATATTTACTCACCTGATACTATGAACATGATACCGGCACTAAAATAATATAAATTATTTTGATGTGAACAGGTTGGTATAAGAAAAACAATAAAACTTAACAGAAGAACAATACCCGATGCTAAAAAGAATGGACATGACTTTGTAACAGTATCTGTAATGAAAGAAATACAAAAGATAATAATAATGTGTTAAATAGGAAATTAATGAAAATATTTTTACACATTATCGGTATAATAGACTATAAAACAAAAATATAATTTAAAAAATGGGTTAAATAAGCGAAGTTGTTTATAGTTCAATTATTATTTCAGCTGAAATTATAGAAAATTTAACAAAACTATTATGAAAGAATTACACAATGTTTATATTTTAGAAATTATTTATTTTTCATAAAGAGTTGAATTTTACCTTACAAACATCGGTACGAACGCATAACACCCTCCCCACTATAGTGGTGTAGGGTATAAACAAAGCAAAACTAGCAAACTCCAACAAAGAAGTAATAAATCGATTTAAGCCTTTAAATAGATCGATTTTAGCCTTTAAATATGTTAGTGTTAGTCAGGAATGTTCTTTCCGGAATAACATTACTTCCAAGATACTTGGATCTTACTTTGACAAATGCCTGACACTGGCAAAGAAAGTGCTCCACAGTTTCACTGTCCTCTTCATATGCTCTACATTCGTCTGAATCCGCATGTCAAATTTTATATAGATGTGCTCGTAATCCTGTGTGTCCACTCAGAATACGTACCATCATACTAACTTCAGGCTTACTCTCATCAGGAGCATCCCATAGGATCTTTGTGGTTTTACCCACTGCTTTATTATACCAAGAGGCCATATGGGATTTTTTCACCCATATTTTTAATTCTGCTTTAACTACTTCGAACTGACTTCCCTTTATGATGGAGTATACAGTTAAAGCTTTCTCACAATCCAATACGGTCTTAAATTTAATCACCTGATATCGCCCTAATTGCCATCTGGCTGTCGGTAAACATATTAAGGGATGTGGGCGCCATATTTATTCTAATCCAATATACACATTCCGTTATTACTCGGACTTCTGCCTGGAAGCTTGTGTTATGATTAGGTAAACGGTGGTATACTTCTGTTTCTTCAATCTAGAACCCCAGGCCCACTTTGTCCCCCAATTTAGAGCCATCCGTGTAACAGCGGATTCCTACTGGTATTTGCATTCTATCTGGGATCAGCGTTTCAAAGTTTCCGACATATTCTGTGTCTGGTATGCGATCAGGCACGTCCGATGATAGTGTATAACCTTCCAATGTATCCAGTATATATTGATGATGTGTTCTTTAACCGTTTTTGGCCAGTTCGCCTAAAGTAAAGAGGCGTTCTCGGCTGTAAGCGCCGACTCATATCTTAAATATGTTTTAATGGGTGAAATATCTAGCAAATTTTCCAGAGCTTTGATTGAAGTAGTACACATGACGCCACTTATACCCAAGCAGCATGTACGCTGAACTCCCTGTAGTAGTTTGATATTACACTTTTTGTCCAAAGCAGTCTACCAGATTATTAAGGCATAAGCTAGAATTGGTCTAATTACACTTTTATAAAGCCAATTTGTTATAGTAGGACTAAGACCCCATTTCATGCCTATAGTTCTCCTACATATCGCCCAGCATCGATGTGCCTTGTTGATCTTATCCTCTATGCGGAGTCTCCATTTTAATTTCCGGTCAAGGATTACAACTAAGTACTTAACTTTGTTTGTCACCGGTAGCAAGGTTCAGTATACTAGAGATTTTTGTCTTTGCCGTCTTCGCCGGGTTAACATTAAGGCCTCTCGGTTGAGCCCAGGTCAAGGCCATATTTAGAGCCTCCTTAGCTTTTCTACAGAAGTAATTTGGATCCTTTCCCAATAAAGATATTACGACATCGTCTGCATAGCAGACAGGTTTAAATCCTCTCTCGGTTAGGGTCCTTAGGAGGCTATCATTTGTGGTAACCCAGAGTAAAGGTGACAAAATGCCAGCCTGTGATATACAGCGAAATACCTTTTTCCTAATACATAGTTAAATCGTACATCTCGCAGCGTATCCATCTGTTCCTTAGCATGTAGTTAATCCAGTTACGAGGCACCCGGTCAACATAAAACTGGTCTAGGGATTGGATAAAAGTATCAGTGTGTACGTTATTGAAGGCGTCTTCTATGTCATTGCATACCGTCAGTGTGTATACAGTTTGCTATCGAAATATTCACCACTGTAGTGGACAACTTCGTTTAAAGCTGTTTCCACCGATCGTCCTTTCACATAAGCATGCTGCTTAAATTTAAGAGGCCTTATTCAAAAAAATTATTTTATTAAAAGTTTATAAAATAAAATTTGTATGAAATTTTTGTTTTATAAACTTTTTATAAAATATATATTTTTTTTTTTTGAGGGGAAAGGTTTTTCTCTAGTTAAGTAAGTCCAAGTTATTACCAAGTTTTTGCTGGGTACCTTTTGCTAAAATACTAATCGATGACCTTTTCATCTACATACTGCTCTGTTCTTTTTCATTACTTTCACTGTCAATCATTGAATATAAAAATTTTTTCTAAACAAACATTATTAATTATTTAGTTCTAAAGAAAAATAAATTTCAAAATTTTTTCCATAAAAACTAATTCCTAAAAACAACAAAATAATTAAAAAATCATTTGCAAGAATAAATCATCATAATATTAGAAAAATATACCATACAAAACTCCATATAGCAAATGCAATCTGAAATATATTACAAGACTGTCTAAGCTATTGAATTTATAAGAGTTAACGTATACATTTTTTTTTTGGCAAATAGAAAAATGGTATTAAAAACAACATATTGATTATTTAATATTGGTTTATACAAATGACTTTTACATTGAGCTAAAACAAAATTATTATTTTGATGTTTTAATAAAGACTTCGGTTACAAATTTCATAGAGTATTATATACAATGTTTTTGTATGTAGCCAATAGGAAATGATTTCGAGGGAAATTACAATAAACGTATGAATTTTCATGATCATATGCACTACCTGATAAATATTTACTTTTATTAACATTATAACCTACAGCTGTTTAAGTAGAAATTTTCTAAAATCAATTTCAAAATATCTTTCCATTTTATACTTTTAACCATTTGTTCAGCCTCTTTTACTGCTGAAAACACTTTTAGTCTAAATATTTACTTAGACCAATGAAAATATCCTAGAAATCCCTACAGGCTTCAATACCACAATTCATGTAGCATTTATTCTTATTTCAATTCATTACAATTTTTTTTTTTGGAGTTTTTCTGCAAGAAGTCATAAAAACTACTCAATTTATATGTTTTGTTTTTTTTGCTATTCAACTGCAAAATATTTTTTCATATGTTTCTTGTCCCTCTATATATATGGGGTGTTAAAGAAAATTTTTTAAAAATTTACAATATTTTTTGAAATTAGTTATCTTTTCCCTAAATATCGTTAGTTATTATTTCATAAAATAATTTTAATTTTATTTAACTCCAAAATCAAAAAGTTTTCTTAATGCCCCATATATATGTATGTATGTATGTATGTGTATACAATTGCATTTCAACGTAATAATTTCCAATTTAGTTTATGTTTGTTTACTTTCGTTTCCTGCTGTTTCCTTTTTTCTAGTTGGTTTTTCTCTCCCTTTCTTTTCGTTAGTGCTCCTTTAAGCTGAAAGCATGTCAGTGTTTTTATGCATGTGCAAAACTGGTAAAACAAAATATATACCCAGCAGTTCGGGCGGACAGTCCCGAACTCCCTATTTAGTCTAACACATAGGGTTACCCCTAGCCACCGACTGTCCAGGTGACTAGCTATTTTAACATGTGCTTGTCCTACGAGGAAGTCAATCGTCATCCCATAGGTTTCAAAGAGACAGACAAGTGACTTTTAAGTGTCCCCTCTTTCGCTTACAAAGGGGACACTAAAGTGACGATTACCTTCATCCTCGTTTACAAAGAGTACATCCGTGACGAAAGACGAATTAGAGCCCACCAGGTGGTTTAACATAAGTGGAAATCACTGTCTTTTTCCTATGCATTGACTCTTTGTCGAACTGCAGGGTATTTATGAACACATACATACACAATTCGGGCGGACAGTCCCGAACTCCCTATTTAGTCTACCACATAGGGTTATCCCTAGCCACCGACTGTCCAGGTGACTAGCTAATTTAACATGTGCTTGTCCTACGAGGAAGTCAATCGTCATCCCATAGGTTACAAAGAGACAGACAAGTGATTTTTAAGTGTCCCCTCTTTCGCTTACAAAGGGGACACTAAAGTGACGATTACCTTCATCCTCGTTTACAAAGAGTACATCCGTGACGAAAGACGAATTAGAGCCCACCAGGTGGTTTAACATAAGTGGAAATCACTGTCTTTTTCCTATGCATTGACTCTTTGTCGAACTGCAGGGTATTTATGAACACATACATACACATTTATATGGTTAGCAGAAATGTACTAGGAAATAACTATGCATATAAAAATTTGTATAAAAAAACTACTAGATAATTCTTATCTGGATTATTATAGCTTTTATACACTATTAATAGGTTTTTGTCTAAAGTGGTTTTTCATTTTATGCAGCGTTATTTTCTTTCCCAAATTTCTTTGATGTATGTATGTATATGTATGTGTATGTCTAATCTAACATATGGGCAATTCCATACACTTGTATGTGACATTCGCACGCCTTCAGAGTGGTATAGATTTTGTAAAATTAGGAGTACTTGGAAAACAATTTTGTCATTCTGTTCCATTTAAAGAATACTATATTTGCAAAAGGAATCATCCCATTCGGAAACTTGTTTTCCAAAATATGGATTAAAATATGGCCATATCATACGTGACAAAAAACGGAAGTGTTTTTAAAGTACATGTAAATATTTACGAAAATCTGCGAATTCTGTAGGTGTATCTTATTTGTTTTAATTTCTTACACTATGGGACATATTGTTCATTAGTAATCCATAATTTTTAAATAAAAAAAATTAATATAATTTTATAATGAACATTTTTAAATATCGTACGTAACACTTCGTATATGGCAAATTTTTCTCCTGATTTTTTTTAGGTTATAAAATATATATATTTTGGATATATATACATACACACACTTCAACAAA